CTACGCGAGTTTTTGAGCTACAAACTTGAAAAGACTTTTTAAAAAAGTATTTAAAAGGTCTTTTCAAGCATTTTAAAAAAGGTCATATTTATTTTCTTCGAAAAATGTGTTTTTTCGCCATTATTTTACGGTAAAAGTTCGCAATTTATTTTTCGAAAAATAAAAAATCACCTTTACAGAGTGATAACTCCGCTATTATTCCACCTACCGTAATCAACAAAAAATGAGTCGATTTGTTATTCCAAAAGCTTCATGAATATGCTTGATTTATATGAGTTTTGCGATAAAACGCAAGGTTTTCGAGTTATTTATCAAAAATGGCAGAAATATTGCAGTTTTTAGATGAAAAATCAACATTTTCAATCCTAAATAACTCGGAAAATATTAATTTTCTGAAAAAAATGTTATAGAACATTTTTGCTTAGAATTCATCTCTATTGATTTTTGCAATTAAAATGGGTGATTTATTTTTCACCCCCGAGAAGGGGTGGCACTCACCCCCAGGGTGATAGGACACACCGCTACTATATAACTTTTATTTCTATTCACTGTTAAAATTTCACGTCCATTGGTGCGAGTGTCAAGAATTCGGAGGTAATACCAGAGAAGAACAATCGTAGAGAAGCGACAAAAACCGTCGGCAGTCTAGCGATGGGAACTATCGAATGAATTAGACTATCGAATGGTTAATGAATGAATGATTTCAACTATCGAATGGTTTTATTCGAATAAAATCATTCATTCATTTGTATACTAAAGCATATGTGACAACCTCGCCGTGCGACTAAATGGTTATCGTTGAGCCACGACTATCGAATGCTTTTGATAAATGAAATTTAGTATTCGTTTGATTTTTGTATGCGTTAAGCCCCGTTCTCAGAACTGCGTCGTGTCGCAGTTCTGAGAACGGGGCTTCAGTGCATTATTAGTTCTTCCAAATTTTTATAACTTCGCCGTATAAATACTGTGCTATTTTTGCGTTTATTAAAATAGTTAAAATACTAAAATAGTAGTTATTTTTTAATTTTATTTATTGACGATTGTGTGCATGTGCAGGTGGTCAAAATTTTTCCGAAAATTTGTGTGGCTTTCCGTAGTCCGATCGTTCAATTATTTAATTTTATATGGTCTATTTTTTAATGGGAAATTTTGAGAAGTAGCAATTTTTAAGAGAGATGAGATGAACTTACAATGAATTTTAAAAATACATATTTGTATTTTAGATGTTTTAATAATATGAATTAGTTGAACTTAATAATCATATTTAAGTAATGTGATTAAGTAAATGGGGGGTTATCAAACTCAAACTATGGGGTGAGAAAATTAAAATGAAACGTGCCAATTTAAAAAAGTTAACGATGTTTGTATTTTGTTTATGCTAATTCTCTTACATGTAGTTTTTTGCGAAGAAATATTTCATTTATTTTTTAAAGTAAATGCCAGTAAAAGTAAATATAATTTTTAAATAGTAATATAAAGCACCTAATATAAATAATTTTGATTTCTAATTTTCTATTTACATTTTCCTTCCATTACACTGCATGCTTAGAAAATTAATAAATGTTTATATTTCATGATTTTAAAATTTGTTGTTAATATAACAAATTAGTTCTGTAATTATTATTATTTAATAAACCAACGTTGCCACACAAAAAATTTAGAGACTATATTATTTTTAAATAGGATCTAATATAAATAATTTTGACATCTAATTTGTTGTTTATATTTTGTTACTACTTAAAAAAAAATATTTATATTAAATGATTTTAAATTTTGTTGTTAATAGGTATAACAAATTATTACTGTTATTATTATTTATTAAACCAGTCTTTGCTAAAAAACATTAAAAATCATTTTCCTACATCCAAAATAACAAGTATTATTGCAGTGTAACAACAGAATATTAATAAAAAAAATGCAGAATATATAGACATACTAACCCTAACTAACTAAAGCCAAACAATTAATATTCTTTGCTAATATCAACTAATACCAAAATATGGCAACAGCGCCTTTCATAATGTATTTTCTGTGTAAATACTAGCACCTCAATAAAAAAAATAATGTGTCCTTATTTTTATCTGACTCCGCAAAAAATCAAAGATGCCGGCTTCTTTCATAGCATTGCCACCGACCGCCTGTCGGGTTTCTCGGAAAGAAACCTACGTCGCCGGGCGACAACTAAAATTCAGTTAATATTTTATTATAATCGATCCTGACGAATAAATGAATTTCATAAATGAATGAATTTTATAAATGAATGGTTTTTGCTGCCGAATTACTAGAATACAATATTTCAAGGCAGATGACGGATCTATTCGATAATTTTTATTCGAATAGTTTTCAACGAATGTTTTCTTACTAACTATCGAATTATTCGAATAAATTGCAACTATCGAATGTTTCGATAGTATTCATTCGATAGTTCCCACTACTAGTCGGCACTATTGAAATGAGGGGGACGAAGTTTTGTGACCTTCAAATTGGCGTACTTGAGAGATCGCCGGTTTATAGATACACTGAGAGAAATTCAATGAAGGCAAAAGAAATGAAAAAAGCTATACACTGAAAAAACATGCGTTCAATAAAAAGTATATTATAAATATTTAGGAATCATATTGAATAGTAACTATCTTTTAAGATTTAACACAGGTTTCCGCGGTTTGTGGATTTATCGCGTTTTCATAACCTATTCCTTTTAGAGGGACATTTTCAAATCGTATCTGATAATATTGTTTGTTTCGAAATTAATATTTGAAAGTGTTTTTTAATCAAAATTATAAATAAAACAATTTTAAGAAAATTTCGAATATTTATCAGCTGTTATCACAAGAGTTAAAACAAACCAAAAAGTAAATAACATAATAATTAGAGTTGAGGGTTGGAACCGGAGTGTTACAACAGCAAAATAAAACACTAATTTACCAAAATACCCCAAAACACTTTACTTCTGCAGTGCATCAGCAGATGATTAAAACTAAGATGATTAAAAAACATAATATCTCTATAATATAAGAACATAGGTGGTAGATTAAATTTACAAAAGAAAACCCAGAAAAGATTCAGCGGTTCTGAAAATGTAAGCAATTTTTTTTATTTTCAAAGAATCTCGGTTATTCTGGACTTATTTGAAAAACGGTAAAGAGAAAATATGCTTCATTTATCGAGATCTACCGGCCCTGAAAATATTTGCACTTATCTCACCCTGTATATTAAAAAATCATATTTTACATAAAAAAACATATTATATTTAAAGATAACACAACTTAAATTAGCGTCGCTAATATATTATATTTGCGACAAAATATTATTTAATTTTCTAAAACATATTATATTTGAAGATAACATAACTTAAATTAGCGTCGCTAATATATTATATTTGCGATAAAATATTATTTAATTTTCTAATACAGAGTTTTAATTTTCTAATTATTTTTTATTAAACGCTAACAACCTGCATCTACTTTAAGTTTTAATAATATTTGGTTCTGAAAATTAGTTCCTTCTTTAAGTAATACCATATGATCGAATAAAAACGGCATCAACAATGGCTATGAAATGAAGATCGCTGTCATTTTATATGTAAAATTATATGGGAAATGTCATCGATCGTCATTTCCAAGCCAACTGGACGCCGTTTTTTTCGATCATACGGTAAATATAGATAATTAGGTAATTCAAAAAGATTAATTATGTACACAAATAAAAAATAGTAAGATTTCAGGACTTTATCATTAACAATGGCAACGCTGGCCGTATTCCGAAAACACGCTGAGATGACAGACCTCCCACTCCAAATTTTTAGGCGGGATTCGTTTTGTCGCTTCTCTACGATTGTTCTTCTCTGGTAATACCCTATTTTTATCCTCGCTTACTGGCCTATGATGGGAATACCGGCTCCACATTAGTCGCGTTACAATAGCGACCGTTCCAGAGAAATACCGCGATTTTGTAACCGAGGTTCTGGCTTGTGAAGTATCGCTGTTCTCACCTATATAGTATTTCTGGTCATTGTACCTACCTATACCCATCCCTGCTGTTATCTTTGTTTCCGTGCAGGTGCATAAAAAACAAGCAACGTGCAGATGGCAAGAAGAATTTAGTTATATTAGCTTTCAATTTTGGAAAAAAACTATTAAATAAATAATATAATTTATTGGTATTTAATACTTTTATTCGCCATCTTTTCTTTAGACTGGAGAATAGCTTTTTATAAGTTTTATATTTTTGCCAATAATATTTAGATTTATATTCTTCTGATACACGTTATAACCGTTAGAATTTATATTAAAATACATATATTTGTAAGATAATTATATTTTTCTATCTTTTTTCAAAACAAACCGATTTGGTCATTGAAACTATGCGGTCTGGATTTTAAAGTGTAAGACAGTGATGTAGACAGCTTAATGGAACATCAAATGTTTTAAAAAGAGCTAAAAATGGGTCGACACATTTCTTCTATGCGGTATTGCCGGATTTTGCATCAAAATTTCAAACTGCACAACCAACTAAGCGTTTACGAAAAATGTTGCATCTAGGGTTGGAACTTTATTTTTCACTACTCAGTTACTCATTTTACTACAGCTGTAGTAGATTATATTTAGTTTAGATATATTATCGTCATTTCATTAGTATACATGAAAGTTTTTAAAATAGTTTATATTTTTCTACATACATTTTCCTACAAACGTAAAAAACCGGCAACACTGTAGATTATTGAAATAACAAAGATTGATTGACGTATTCAATTCTTTTCAGTTGGGTTTTAAATTGCACCTTCGGTATTTATTTACTTTATTAGACAGAAAATAACACTCAGAATAGAATGACATATCATATGTCAATTTTTAGTTTGTTTTACCTTTTATTATGTAATAAAAGTTGACAAATATTTGAAATTCTTAAATTTATTGCCAATCAAATGAACAAAATCAGAATAGGCAACTATTTCAATCATTTTGAATCGCTTTGTAGTAAGAGAAAAAAATAATACCTACCAGCAAGTTCTTTTTTTTAATTCTATAGCTTGTTCTCTCTCTTTTAATTCTTTTTCCTTAATTTTTTCCTCTTCTTCGTCAAAAAAATCGTACACATCTTGGGGCTCCTGTTTCTTTTTGAAGATTTTCGGTATTACTTCATATAATTTTGGTAATTTTGACGTATCCGTGTTTTCGCTTATATCTATGAAAGGATAAATTTAGATCAAATATTGTAGCAAAATAAAAACACTAAATCACCACAATACACCAAAACACTTTTACTTTTACACTGGACGCGCGTTTCGCTAACCATGTTAGCATCATCAGCAGATGATTATAAACTAAGTTAATAATATATAATAATAAAAACTCGCCATCAGCAAGTTAATAATAAAAACTCAGTTTTTAATCATCTGCTGATGATGCTAACATGGTTAGCGAAACGCGCGTCCACTGTATAAGTAAAAGTGTTTTGGTGTATTGTGGTGAATTAGTGTTTTTATTTTGCTGTGTCTTCTCGCTAATAAGAGAAAAAAGTCAGTGGCGTGCATGCTTGTTTTAGAAAAATATTCCAATGGTAACCCATATGCATGTCCCTGGTGAATATGTCGACATTTTTTTGACTTTAAAATATGTCGCATTTATAGTAACTTTTACCCTCAAAATTTCATTCGAAACGCTAAAAGTAGTTGGACGAAAATTATAATAAATCGAAAAAATAGACTTTAACACCCTGTAGCTACGAAACAAAGCAGAATCGGAACTATGTTGATATGAAAAATAAATCTTATTTTTACGCGAGGAATCTCCCCACGAGAGATGGCACATGTTTTTTGAAACACCCTGTATATGATCTAGGGTAGTTTGTCGGTGGTGCAACTATTGGTGGGTATATATTTGTGTTTTTGTAGTATCGTTTGGTAATAATCATTAAATATCTAAACAATTTTGTAAACTTACATTATTTTGTGCAACTATGCAAAAATATTAGGTTTTTAAAAGTTGCACACTTTTTGTTTTATTTTTATCTGTAGAGTCAACCACCGAAGTTAGATACACTATTTTTTGACATCCTGTATATAGATTTTTGAAATACGAAAACATATGAAATTTCAAAAAATAATAGATTTCAATGGAATTATTGTTATTTGTTATTTTTAGATAATTTCTTTATAATTAATAAAATAAAAACTTACCATTTATACAATTTCTTACTTTATTTATTTTTTCTTGTTTGTTATCTAACTTTTTTACCAATTTATGGGGCTCACTAACACTACTTTCCTTTTCTGCATCTACTGATTGTGTACTATCTATTTTTGAAAATGTCCTCAAAATACTCACATCTTAAATGAAACAAATACAATATGTAGTATTATCTGTTAGTACTTTTATTTCAATATGTTTAAATTATCTTTATGAGTAAAAGTATCTTACCTGAACTGGTACATATGGATGGTTTTTTGTTCTTATTAGAATGTAATGTAATAAGTATCTCATTCTCATTAATTATTTCACTAGTTATTTCGTATTCATTCTCAACACTTATATCAGAGGACAGAGGTTGCCTTTCAGTTTCAGTGAGCTTACGCTTTTTTAAGGATTGGTTCTTATTAATTAACCCATGGCTATCATTGATAATCATACACAATTGTATGTGCTTTTCAAATTGAGCTTCATGTTCATAAAAGCCATTACAGTATCCACATAGATATTGGATACTTAGATCTCTAGGGCTAGAACTCTCATCAACTACCGAAGTAACAGTTGTATCTGTATTACTCTCATTTTGTACAGACAGAGATTGATTTGAGAAACTCATAATTCTAGTTTAATACGATTTTTATTCTACAAAATACCTTATTTTGTACTAATGTTTTCAATAGTTGTAATGTATGTCCATTATATACTGTCCCTAACAATCCTAATATCGACTTAACTTATTTTATTAAAACAAAATTTGGTAATACCCAAAATTTTACTAAATCACAAAAAACGAAAAAACATAAATTATAATTTTAAAATGTTTTCACTATTTTCAAACATTCAAAAACAAAATTAAAATTTCTTTTTGTTGACTTTTTCTATACTTCTTGGTTTCTTTGACTCTTGACACTGCCCTATGACACTGCCGTTTAGAGATGGGCAAAAGTAACCGGTTTTTTGAATAACCGGTATTTTCCTCTAAAATAACCGGTTATTTAAAGGTAGTTTTTTTTTCACCAGTTAACCTAATAACCTTGCATTACGTTCAATAACCTATAGCCGGTTATTTTTTAAAAAATCGTACTTGTTTAAAACAAGTAACAATTAAATTACGCCGTTACGCCGATACGCCGTATTTAGGATAGTGTGGCTGCACCCTGACTCTTTGACACTGCCCTATGACACTGCCGTTTAGAGATGGGCAAAGTAACCGGTTTTTGAATAACCGGTATTTTCCTCTAAAATAACCGGTTATTTAAAGGTAGTTTTTTTTCACCAGTTAACTAATAACCTTGCATTACGTTCAATAACCTATAGCCGGTTATTTTTTAAAAAATCGTACTTGTTTAAAACAAGTAACAATTAAATATTAGCTGTTTGAATCGTAAATTTCGAAGGAGCGAACGGCACGGATCTTCCAGATATTACGACGATAACGGGAGATCCCGCTCCCGCTCCCAAAACGAAATATATGACATCAAACATCAAATGTGAAAATTAAATCAGGCATCAGGCGAACGCTGATAATAATCAAAACAACAGCCGAATGGCCCTGACAGGTCAGGCCGTAAAACAAAGTACTAATGCCATAGCCTACTACTAGCCACCAGCTAGCCAAGTGATACGAACCTAACTTCAAATAGATTCTCTAAATTCTATATTTAAATTTTAACCGACTTTAACGGAATTTCAACGGTTCTTCAAAAGTTTTCCATGGTTTCGCCCAGTTTCACCGTAAATATATTTTATTTGTAGTTTGAAGTCTCTCTTGAAGCTTAGACTAAGAATACAAAATTGAAGTTCAAGTAACGAATGAAGATACTCTTTCATTATTTATTCATTCAGTCTCCTTATTTTTCTTTGGTATTTGATTAAAATAACTTGGTTGTAGATTGTAGAACTTGTGAGTTGTGTGGTTTATTTGAACGTTAAGTAATTACTAGTTTTAATATCATATCCATGTCTACTCAAAAAAAATTAGGTTAGCATTTTTATTTAAATTCATTTTGTACATATACATACTTACATTGCTACAATCTCTATTTAATCATGCGATTTAACTAAGTTTATTATCTAAATTTGAAGTAGACCTATGGAGTGTAGAGGTAAGTAAACCTATAGGAAAACTAAATATTTAGTTTTGCTAGGTTAGGTTATTTGAATAACCGGTTAATTTGTGTCGGTTAATTTTGTCAAGTTATTATTTTTTAAAGATAATTCCGGTTAACCTATAACCGGTTTTTTACCAATAACCGCCCATCTCTACTGCCGTTCTTTTGAAAGATCTTTTAATAGAAGGCACCAGGCTCTTGGCATCTTAGGGTGCAGCCACACTATCCTAAAAACGGCGTATCGGCGTAACGGCGTATCGGCGTATCGGCGTAACGGCGTATCGGCGTAACGGCGTAACGACCTTGAATCGATTTCCAGTAATTCTATTGGCTGAAATTTTTGACAGATGAATTTGGCAGATAAAATTTCTGACAGATGAATGTTTCAGCCAATAGAATTACTGGAAATCTATTCAAGGTCATTACGCCGTTACGCCGATACGCCGTTTTTAGGATAGTGTGGCTGCACCCTTAGACAAGCTTAGGGATGTACGATTCGAATCGATTTTAATTGAAGATCGATCTTTTTGCCCAAAATACCGATTAAAATCGATCGATTTTTATCAAACGATCTTTTGGTAGAATCGATCTTTTTTCAAAATCGAAGATCTATTTTATTTGTACATTTTTACAGGTTTATTTATTTGTTAGAATAAAAAAACACATTAGTTTTCCTTGAATATTTGTTTACAGTGCATCTCTAATAAAACGCCATCTAGCAATGAATTGAAAAATTAAGTGTAAGTGCTCGCTACCGCCTGCGTCGATGTCTGTATAATATGTTTATCACTTTGATATTAGGTGTCAGATTTTTGTCGGTGATTCCCATATTTTTATATTTTATAACAGAATATTTTTTGATTTTAGCTTCTTTCCAACCGACTGATATATCAAAATTACAGAATTTACCGGTACATATTCTGTGTCAAAATCATCATAAGCATGCCAAAAGCCGAATATTCTATTTTAACATTGTCATAGTATTTTTAATTTTTACAAGTATATCTCGGTTTGTGGGTGTTTCTGGCTCAGTTTGGGATGACTCTTATTCAATTTTTTAAATGTGTTAATAAACGGTTTTACGATTTTTATGTATTTAATTTTTTTTATGATTATATCGTATTTTTATTATATCAGTACACCAATGCATTCAGAATCGAATATCGATATTTATTAAGATCGATCTTTTATTACCGACTTTTTTTCTGGATCGATCTTGTTATGTCCGATCTTGAATCGATTCAAAATATCGATTTATTTTATTTTTGGGACATCACTAGACAAGCTTGACATCAAATACGTTTAAATAAAATATACGACGGCCTCCCCATAAGAGCAATGAGAGGATTTACGTCCCAGTATTGAAGGAGGACAGAAAATCGAGTCGAATGGTTTCAAGACATAGGTTCATCCTTGTTTAGTCAAACCTCCTACAAACCAAGGATAGACTTATGTAGGAAATGCATTGAAATTCTATAGCCATCCTTCAATATCGGGACAGGAATTTAAGCGGTACCCTCCGTATACTTTATTTTAAACGTATTTGGTCTGTAGCAACAAGTCCCCACAGATCAATTGTGCTGACTGACAGAAGACAGGTGTCATCAGAATCAAGCAACACGAAGCTGTAGTGTCAATAATTTCCCGCTAATCACGCAAAACTACTTCGAGTTATTATTTTAAGTATTTGTTAAATTTTCTGAAAAATAAACCAAATAAAATTGGTGTAAAAACAAGTGAGAGTTTTAGTTCAACGGCTAGAGCCCCCACTTTCAGCAGTTCAACGATAAAATGATATATAAATCGATAACCATAGAACAGGATTAAAGCTAGATGCAACCATAGATCCTACTTGTAAACTAGGGATGGACCATACGCATTATGTAAAAGTAGTTCGAACATACCAATGACTAAAGTACTACTAAATACAAGGACATCTAATGTCCATATCTTGCCGATATACAGGGTACAGCCATTTTTTTGGACGTAACCACAGGAGAAAATAATACAGAACGAAATTTTTCTTACATAAGATCCTGACAACATTTTTTGGTGCGCCATCTATTAACTTGGCTCTATAATTTATAACAAAATAGTTATTCTTGCCATAAGAAGCTGTGTATTTCTAGTATCCCAATCATCACAAGCGCCCCTAACGGCGATTTTCGAACTTCATTTAGATCTCAAAAACTGGGCCCATAATTTTTGCGTTCGATTCGCCTCCTCCTTTTAGACTCCATAATGCGTAGATTGCGTAGCTTCTGTGATAATATGATTTATTTTGTTTCTCATTTATATGGTAGGGATGTCCCAAAAATAAAATAAAGCGATATTTTGAATCGATTCAAGATCGGACATAACAAGATCGATCCAGAAAATCCAGATCGAGATCGATCCAGAAAAAAATCGGTAACAAAAGATCGATCTTAATAAATATCGATATTCGATTCTGAATGCATAGGTGTATTGATATAATAAAAATACGATATAATCATAAAAAAAATTAAATACATAAAAATCGTAAAACCGTTTATTAACACACTTAAAAAATTGAATAAGAGTCATCCCAAACTGAACCAGAAACACCCACAAACCGAGATATACTTGTAAAAATTAAAAATACTATGACAATGTTAAAATAGAATATTCGGCTTTTTGCATGCTTATGATGATTTTGACACAGAATATGTGCCGGTAAATTCTGTAATTTTGATATATCAGTCGGTTGGAAAGAAGCTAAAATCAAAAAAAATATTCTGTTATAAAATATCGAAATATGGGAATCACCGACAAAAATCTGACACCTAATATCAAAGTGATAAACATATTATACAGACATCGACGCAGGCGGTAGCGAGCACTTACACTTAATTTTTCAATTCATTGCTAGATGGCGTTTTATTAGAGATGCGCTGTAAACAAATATTCAAGGAAAACTAAAGTGTTTTTTTATTCTAACAAATAAATAAAATAAACCTGTAAAAATGTTTATCTTTTATGGGATGGCGTGGTGTAAATGATATCCCTGTATCCCGTGTTACCGATATTGACTAATCAGGATGAGAATGTTAGTCAAAAGAAATACTTAATAAAAATGCAAATACATGTATCAAAAAGAAAATGAGGAAAGAGCGAAGAATGATGAGAAATTGAAGAGTGGAAATACCAAAGGGGGTAAAGTGCCAAAATTATTTTTTCGAGATAAATGAGAAAAACAGTAGAACTGAAACTAATAAATTTAAAAAATCTTTTAGAATACATATAATATACATAAACAATAGACGCTTTTGCTTGGCATTTGTAACTTTTGTTAGGACCAAGGTTAGGACCATGCAGCATAGTATTTTTATTACGTTTTTGGTTTGGTTTGGTTTGGTTTGGTATAACATTGTATTGAAAAATTTGGCATTTTGATATTTCCATTCTTCAATTTATTAAAAGAAAGAAAACAAAGTAACATTCATATTTAGTGTTTAAAAAAATAAATTCTTGTTGAAAAAATATATATATAGCAAACACGGGAATATAATTTTTAGATATTGACGTTCTACTTAGTATAAATAAATATGTGTTTTAAAGCCTAAAGGAAAGACTACCCTAAAGTGTATACCTATAAAGTCGATTGAATCATTTTAGATTGAGCATTTAAATTTTTCGAGATTTACAGGTTCCCGGGATTTAATATCGGGATTTCGGGATTAAACATACATCGGGATCCCGGGCCCGGGATATATATAAGTTCCCGTCATGCCTTAGTGATGTTTCCATCAGACACATAGATCATAGATCGTCTGCATAATCCAGAGGACTTCTAGCCTG